AACACTTCTACTCGAAATGGAAGTAATCCCAACAATTATGAAACAAGAAATTCCTCGAAACCCAACTTTTATTCGTATATGACAATAGGTTTGTTTTAACCGTAGACGTGGTCCATGTAGCAAAGGCTTGACGATGAGACTTACTCAGAGGCTTTAGCCTCGAATTAGTCACCCAGACGCAGGGGAGGGGTAATAAAGCCTCGAGTATCACAGATGGGGTGGCAGGGGTCGAGTGAAATACGTGAACCGGGGAGATAGCAGACGGATCCTGAGGGGCAAGAGGGAGACTTTGATAAGACATAGGGAAGGACAGCATCACAATAGGGCAGACTGTGATCAACACTCCCAGCACAAGGGTGAAGAGGAGTGAGAACGCCAGCGTGGAGTGTGGAGAGTTTTCATGAATGCCACTTAAAGGAGCACAGCACACCACATCTAAATAAACATGGTAAAAATTGTAACAGAGAAGGTGTGATACGAGGATATAGGAAATGTGAATAGCCCAGGACAGAAGGAAAGATCCCACAACTGTTTAGCACACGTTTGGTCAATGGGTCGGCTTCACTTGTCTCTTTGACGAGTTGTTGTGTGGTGCTAAGAATGGCAAGACTCGCTGACGATGCCGGCGAAACGTCTGCGAATGTACCACGTCCCCGGTCCGACTTTGGAAATGATCATGCATACAATGGACTGCGGACTAGGTGTGTTCCTCTAAGTTGTAAAAACAAGGTCAACCAACCTCTATACAACGAAAGGAGACTGCGAATACACAAAAGACCACATCATCTTGGTCTTCATACCTTCAATCTAACTTGTTTAGTCTGAGAAAGAATGTATATGGGACGGGCACATATACAAGGACAGATGGAGGAGGGACACCAAAAGCTTCCAGCAAAAAGTTGGTCAAGAAGCGAACTTCGCTTGTCGCCTTGACAAGTCGTAACTTGTTATCTTGACTAACAGGGCTCAGTGACGATGCATCGGCTACGATGCAGGCGAAGTGTCTTGAAATGTACCGAGTCCACTGACTGTGGCTGTAAATTAACATGAGGACTTCGGACAGGGTGCATTAATCTATGTCGCTCTGACAACACGACCAATATGTGAAAATGAGGTCAGACAAATTAAAAGGGGCGAAAGGGGGCTGTGACCAAAATGGAAGCCACATCATCCTGGCCTTCACACCTCATTTAGCCTCTCTTACCCCCTTGCCATGGCAGTCCTGCCTTTCGTCGTCATCGCCTTGCAAAAGCATATGATCCCACTTGTCGTCTTGACTACGTCTATGACTATTAGCAATTTCCTCTGTTTCCAATTCTGTAATTGAGCCCGCTTCTTTTTAAGGTTTCGTCTTTTGTTCATTTTATCTGCTTCAGTTATTTCGGTGGCTCGTTTGCGGCGGACGCTGGAATCGGCTTACAAGAGTAAGGAACATTCACTATTTTTGGACCTACTTCAGGCTTTGGTCCACCTCTCCTTTTGCCCTGAGCCCACAGCCGGGCATTGTTCCATGCACTTAGTCACTTTGCGCCAAACGCCAGACTTTTTGGAGACTTGCAGGTGAGGTGATCTACTTGCCTTGCAAAAATACTGTCCGACCTCACGGTCTTGAGGGCTGAAAATGGGAATCTTACGCCAGACAGTAGAGGTGTATATTGTGCCCTAAACCCAATGAGTAGATGATCCTTCCGTTGGTTCATCGAAGGGCACTTGTCGCTGGGCCAACGGAGATTTGAGAAGATCGGGGGAAGGAAATAAATGAAGCGTGTCGAAGTGAGGGTGAGGTCCGGCTGGGCAAGGATGGGCGTTGGTTTCCGAGACTATCAATTGATATATTCGCTCTATTTCGTTGAATGTGACGAGCGACTGGTAGCTGAATTTTCCCACAATATAATGGGCAGGCCTCATCGCGCGGTCCATCCTGGATAAGGCGAACCTTTTAGAAACAAGACAATGTGAAATTCAATGGAAGCATGAGACTAACTCATATGCTTGTAGGAAGATTCTACTACCACTCCTTCATTACATTACACGAAATAGGCTGAATACATCCCATATGACGGCGAAGATTTCCTCTCCCGGCTGCAACTCGCCCGGTGTGACGAAGCGCTCGGCGACGAGAGCAAAGCTCAAGTTGATCAAGCAAGGATGAGTTGCATAATACAGGAAAAGCTGGGGGA